TCTCAATTCAAAATGAGATGAAGAACCCCAAGTGCAGTCCGGCCCAGGAACAGGGGAATGGCCCAGAGGGCTTTTCAAATCCCGTCCAGCTTCTGGGTTTAAACTCAGAGACATGAAGACACCCAGAGCAAGAGGCAGCGATCCAAGTCTACTTGGGCTCGGAAGATGTCCTCAGACGAGGGTCCTTAGGCAAACTCCAAGGGGAGGTGATGACTGAGGAGGTGGAGCTGGGAGGGGCAGGGGGTATTTTCTGCACCTTTTCTTTAAAACGGGAATATGAATGGGGCGCCTGGGTGGCTCAGTTGGTTAAGCGTTTAACTTTTGATTTCAGCTCAAGTCATGGTCTTAGGGCCATGAGGTCGAGCTCCGTGCTGGGCGTGAAGCCTGCTTAAGATTGTCTCTCTCTCTCTCTCCCTCTGTCCCTCCCTGCCTCGCTTGCACTCTCTTGCTCTCTCTTTCTCTCAAATAATAAAATAAAATAAAATAAAATAAAATAAAATAAAATAAAATAAAATAAAATAAAATGGCACTATTAATTCAGCCCAGGGACTCTCACAGGATGAGCTCTGATCAAGGTGCCAATAAAAGAACAGAGAAAAGCCCATCATTGAGTTGCGAGGGACAAGGTCCACCTAGGGGTAGTCATGACGCAGTTTCATGTCCTGTCCACTCCAGCATCTGATGACCTGATGACCATTAGGATCTTTTTTTTTTTTTACCTCACCCCCTCCTTTTTATTATTTTAATGTAATATTTGATAGATGCAAAAGAGTTGATAACTAATATGTAAGTAAGAAAGCACAATAATGAACGCCCATAAGCCCACCGTGAATGCAGGGTTGGCTAGAACACTGCCAACAGCCTAGCACCCACCTTTGTGCTCCTCTCCATCTCAGCTCAGATGAGCTCCTCCTCATCTCAAGGTAAGCTTCGTCTTGAATTTTGAGTAATGTCATTGCCTTGCTTTTAACATATAGGTTTATCGTATTTGCATTTATTGCTAAACGATGTATGGTATAGTTTTTGAGTTTTATAATAATAGTATCATACTGTATGTGCTTCTCTGGGATGCTTTTTTTCCACTCCACACTGTGTCTCCAGGAACAGGAGAGAAGAATGTGGATTAGGGAGTAGGCAAAACTGGGCTGAATCTAGATCTCAAGTGCTCAAGCTGTGTGATTGCATGCAAATTTCTTAACTCTCTTGAGTCTCAGCTTCCTCATCTGTATAAATGAGGCTCTTGTTCCCCTTATAAGGTTATGAAGAGGGTATAGTCAAAGCCTGTATGTGAAGTGTTCCTCTTGCAGAACAGGTTTTTAAAAATTATTATGAGCTTCTGTTGTTTACTTTTTCTCTTGTGTTTCGTCTAGCTCAGGGGTGGAGATCACTGATCCACAGGGGGAAAAATCCTTACAAAATTACTTCCCTCTAGATAATACAATCAACTGTTTCTTAGACGAAGAACTGGGAACATGAATTTTATTCAGTAAGTGAAGACATTACTAAAATATGTACTTCAGCTATATATTATGACTTGCAAATGGATGGAGGGGGAGAGAAAAAGAAAACTAGTGGGCAAAAGGGAAACACAGGAAGAGAGAAACCATGAGTGCTAGGTCACCAACTGTGTTTTGCTTTTTGAAAAGTCACTTACCCATTGTTCACCGCTCTTCAATTGCTCCGATCCCTAAGCCCATCAAGGTTTGCTTAGAATGGGATCCTCTCAGCTGACCACTGAAGAAGACGTTATTCTTCGGGGTCCAGCTGCAGCAAACAGAACAATGTCGGGATGACATCGAGCTGGGAACCAGATGGAAAGAAAGTTCTACAGGCCAGCGCCAGATGAAATTCCTTATGATGTCTCAGTCCTTAATTGATCTCCTTTCACATATACCTACTTTGATTGTCTGTAGAGCATTGGGCTTGACTTTTCTTTCACAGAGATTTTGTGGTTCACCTCTTATGATATGGTCTTCATTTGCTTCCAAAATAGGGTTTTCACCAAATAAATATGTGAGTGGAAAAGGCAAATGCAATCTAAGATCTGGAGTCAGGAAGGCTGGTGAGATTGACATTAAAACACAGTGCGCTAAAATACTTATGTGTGCATTTGTGAAATATTAATGCAGCATCCTGCAAACACACAGGCAAACACCCCCGGGGCAGGGCTCCCTCAGATCTCTTTGAAGACTTCCCTTTTTAATTGAGCACAGCTTTCGTCACTGGACTATTCCATTCACCTCAGAGTACACTGTGGTCTCTTTCAGCCTTGAAGTGTCAGCGGGCCAACACAGCCTTCTTCAGAGCCAACCCTACATACCTGGTTCAGCTGCCCCCCTCGTCTTCATACCTGGATGGCACCGGCCATCCGCCAGCAGAGAGGCTGCAGGGACTGAGCCTCTGTATGGGAAAGGCATGGGCGCCTGGCTTCTTCTGGCTGCTGGCCCTCAAAGGCATCCTCAGAGGCCCACCTCTGTTCACTGCCTGGCCCTGTGCTTCCCAAGGGATTTGGGAGAGCTAGCAGGTGCCATCAAACACCAGAGAGCTGGGCTGAGGGGACTCAGTCAGTGGGGCTTGATTGATACAAGCCTGGATGAGAAGAAGCCTAGGAGGAACAGTCTGTGGGCAGGGAGGAGTCCCAGACTGCGGACCCCTTCAGGGCAGGCGCCATGTCTGTCCTGTTCACTCTCCTAAACCCAGCATCTAGAACACTATGAGGCATATACTAGTTCCCTGATTGACTCGCAGCCCATGGAGTTAGACTGATGTCTCCACTCCTCAACAGAGTTCCTTTACTGTGAAAAGGTGGACAGAAGCACGTGTGACAATGTCATCCATTTCCAGGAATGAAGTACAAGGCGGGGCGCAGTAAAGGACTGACGAGAACGTGTTTAAAATGAAGCAAAGTGAAAAGTCCAGCTGTTTCATTAAGGGTCTACATAGTTCACCGGACTGAAGAAAGGAGCACTGTGCTAGGAGGCAGAAGTCTGGGCTTTCATCAGACATTTTCACAAATGTGCTGTGTGACACAGAACTAGTCACTTCCTCTCTCCAGGCTTCAATTTCCTCTTCAGTCAAACGTAGCGGCTGGGCCACACAAACTCCAAAAGGCTAACTCTATGCTCATGGTTGGAAACTCACGGCTGGGTTTGTCAATGCCGGTCACTGCTCTGCTCCCCAGCAAGAGGGCAGTCCCCTATCCTCTACCACACATCACTTCCCAGGAGCTCCCACTGAGCCCCTGTTCCAGAACATTCCCCACTGACGGATGTGCCCCGTCACAGCTGACAGCCCCTCACAGGCCCTGGGGCCCTGGACCTGGTTCCCAGCCTCAACTGTCCTCCAGAGGCTGCAGTGAGGCAGTGAGCTGGTTCTGCCTGAGAACAAGGACACCCAGGAACCACAGGTCAGCTGCAGAGCTTCCTCAACACACTGACAGCTCCTCTCCCTTTCTGCCTGGGAGCTTTTCTGAAACTGGGCTGCCTTTCTGTTCCCCTGGAGCCATTTTACTCTGGATCCATGCACTGACTGAAAGCAGTGTGGCCCACTCCCTCACAGGATGTACTTCAAACCTGCTGCTGACTCAGCCTCCCTTTCTCCCCGGGCCCTTTTTTTTTGGCTCTTTTTCCTTCCCCCTCCCTTCTTCCTGGCTCACTTTCCCCTCATACACCTTCCAAGACTTCCCCTTTCTTCCCACCTCTTCCCACATACTTTCTCATTCTCAGTGCCTCACCCTGACCTCTGGCTTCTAAGGACCTTCTCTTGGGCTTCTGGTCAGCGTCACCATTCTTTTGGCCTGGAAAGCAGGGCCCAGACTTCTACGTCATTAAGCCTCCCTTACTTCCAGGGTCCATGTAACCCATCTCTTTTTTCTCTCCTTTCTCCCTGTGGGTCCTTCTTTGCCCTTCTCCATCCACATCTTTCAAGAGTCCCCTGCCCCAGGCGTCTGGGTGGCTCAGTCAGTTAAGTGTCTGCCTTTAGCTCAGGTCATGATCTCGGGGTCCTGGGATTGAGCCCCATGTTGGGCTTCCTGCTCAATGGGAGAGTCTGCTTCTCCCTCTCCCTCTGCTTTTCCCCCTCCCCCCTCACTTGTGCTCTCTCTCTTCTCTCAAATAAATAAATTAAATCTTAGGGAAAAAAAAAAAAAAGAAGTCCCCCTGCCCCATCTTGGCCATAGTTGGCAAATATATTCGTTTTCTAGGGCCTCCCTAACAAAGTAGCACAGACAGGTGGCTTAAACAACAGGAATTTATTTTCTCATAGCTCTTGAGGCCATTAGCCCGAGACCGAGGTATTGGCAGGGTTAGCTTCCTCTGAGGCCTCTCTCCTTACCTCGTAGACGCCTGTTTTCTCTCTGTGTCTTCACACGCTCTTTCTTTGATGTCCTATCTCCTCTTCTTATAAGGACACCAGCACATTGGATTGGGGCCCACCCCAATGACCTCATTTTAACTTAATTACCTCTTTAAAGACCCTAACTCCAAATACAGTCATATTCTGTGGTACCAGGGGTTGGGAGACACAACAGAGCCCCTACCAGCAGGGGCAATGGTAATAGTGGGGGGGCACAGGCATTATATGCTGTGTCTGTGCTGACGGGGGGGCGGAAAACCTTTAGGGAAGGATGTAGAAGGCAGGTGCCCTATCGTCCAGAGGGGATGGTTCACCGTGACTTTCTGAGACACCATCCACTCAGCACCCCAACCCTGGGTGCTCGCCCAGGGTCAGGCACCTGCGCTAAAGAAAACCAGATGGGGATAGCTCTAGAAGAAGCCAAGCATCAGGTAAATCAGAAGTTTAATAAAAGTGAAAAAAAATTACAATACAGTGGGCTACTTTAGAAGGCCTAATATGTTGGTCAGCCCAACGTGCTGACTCCATGTGGGTTTTGGGAGGTCACAGGATTGGTCCTTCACACCCTAAGATTCACTTTTCTCACTTGTCTTGTTCCCATGGGGGAGGCCTCTGTCTTTCTGGTGTAATTTTCGACCAGGCTCGTTCTGAACTCCCTCATCCTGTGAGGAAACCTGCCCGAGTCTGACCTTCCCCCATGATGACGATGTTCACTGACATCATTTTCTCAAGTCCACACCTCACCCGAGGTTCTGAGGTTGGCAGACAGGTGAAAGCCTGTTTTATGGAGAATAAGAGCTTTGAGGATGTCAGGGCCTCCCCCATAGGAGACGGCCACAGCTCCCAAGGGCTCCCTGCTCCTCTGTAAGTTCTTCTGAGTCCTGCAGGCTCATCTGTCTTGCAAAGCGTTCAGGGATGCAGAATGCCTGGGTGCTGGTGACGAGTGGGGACCCGGAGTCTGCACAGAGAGAGCTGGGCCACCTAGGAGGTACTGCTCCTCCTCCGGGGGTGGAGAGCTTTCCTCCTGGCCATGTCCTCCTCTGTGTCACTCTCACAATTCCTCTGGAAAAAAAAAGAGGCCCAGGGCAAGAGGGTCGTGAGAGGCCAGCGATGGGTTTGTGCTGGGCAGCCTGGTTGATACTGGGCCAAGGGGCCTGCAAGCCGGGGAGGTGGGCATTGAGGTGAAGGCTGTTGCTCTGTCTAGAGTCTGGGGATAGAGTGGGTGGGGGTGGGGAGGGACCTGAAATGGGGCCAGACCAACTGCCTTGAGGCCTCCTTCCCAGGAGGAAGGAAAACAGGCAGCGCATCTGGGAAAAACCAGGCACCAGGAGAAGCCAAATCATAATAATAATGAAGATGATATCTGGTGCTCTTTGTAGCTGCCACGTAACCAAGACCACTTGGGTAAGTGTTCAGGGTCTCCTGAACTCAGCCTGGAGAGGATGGGGGGCAGGGGTGAGCCACAGGGACCTCCCCAAGCTCTGATGGCCTCTGCTCCACATCCCCTCTGCTCTGACTGGCTTAGGCTGCATCTTTGGCTTTTGGGCTCCATCTTTATGAAAGAGGAAAAGAGTAAAGGGCATTCCATGGCTCAACCAGGGTCTGGGCAGCCATCCTGGAGGTCACAGTGCCTTTTTTATTCAGGCCACATCAGTCTAATCAAATTATTTTTTAAAGATTTTATTTATTTATTTGTCAGAGAGAGAGCACAAGTAGGGGGAGCGGCAGGCCGAGGGAGAAGCAGGCTCCCTGCTGGGCAGGAAGCCGGATGCAGGACCTGAGCCACCAGGCGACCCCAGTCTAATCAAATTATTAAAATTTATTAAAAGAGGTACTAATTCAGAAAGACTTCAGTGCGTCATAAATAATCTGTTCTTGGATGTTCAATTTTAAGGCTGCCTGAAGAAAAGGACCTATTATTATTATTATTATTATTAAAGGAAATTCCCTTTGAGAAAACTGTATAATAGTTGTCTGGGACCCAAGCCTTCCTTTTCCACTTGTAGAATAAGCCACTGAGCTGATGGCACTGAGTGGGCTATTTTTAAATGTTTGCACAAGGACAAAAATTAAGAAAGAAATTTACATTTTTTCCAATTATTCTCCAGTCCTGTCTCCCCATGGCCTCCATCATATGAGAACAACTCACTTGCCATATGCCTTGACAGAGCCTTCTCTCTTTCCTTCCCCTGGTCTGAGCTATTTGGAAATCCAAGGTCAAGATTAACTTTAGCCAGGGGTGCCTGGGTGGCTCAGTCGTTAAGCATCTGCCTTCAGCTCAGGTCGTGATCCCAGGGTCCTGGGATGGAGCCCCGCATCGGGCTCCCTGCTCAGCGGGAAGCCTGCTTCTCCCTCTCCCACTCCCCCTGCTTGTGTTCCCTCTCTAGCTGTCTCTCTCTGTCAAATAAATAAGTAATCTTAAAAAAAAAAAAAAGATTAACTTTAGCCAAATATATCCTGGACCAAGCCTGGCTGTAACAATAAAAATAACTCCAGCTCTGCTGAATAGCAACTTTTTAGCATGAGTCAGAGCCAAACAATGAAAAAGTAAGCCAGGGGAAATCTGCCTGTCATTAACAGGGATTTTCAGAGGGAAAGTCCAGTCCCCTTGAATAGCAGATGAGGAGAGCAGTCAGAGAAGGGACATGGCTTTGCCAAAGCCACACAGTTGCTGAGGGCCTCTGGTGCCATAAACCCCCAAATCAAGAGCAAGAATCAAGAGCTTCGGCTGAAGAAAGTGGACCCCAGGATGTGGCGCGGAGGGAGGTCCTGGGATGCAGCCCGAGAGCTGCGGGTCCTGGGGCTGTTCAGGGCTGACGGCCCCATCCGTCCCAGGCAGCTGCCCTTCCGGTGCCATCCCAGACACTTCTGAGACCCCACATTTGATGAGCCGCGGGGAGCATGTGTCCCGGGCACCTCTACGAGCGGAAACACTAACTGCATTCTGAAGCACTTGGCACTGCATTTTAGTCTACGGGGAGATTTTATACAATAATAACTGCTAATACACACTGAGCACTTGTAATGACAGGCTCTAAGGTTATGTCATCATTTAATCCTCGTCACTACTCTATGAGGTAGGAACTGTTGTTAACCCCATTTTACACAGGACAGAATTTTGGCACAGAGAGGTTAAGTAATTTCCTCAAGGTCACACAGCTAGTAAGTGGCCGATATGAATTCTGAAAGTCTGGTTCCAGAGGCCACACTCCTGAGTAAGTTCCTCATTTTAAATGTACATAAACAGTAACAAGCTAGTCAAATATCGTCTAAGTATTATTGTTGTTGTTATTATTGTTATTAATGGCAATTTAAAGCAAAACAGAAATGGAAACATTGAAAAACGAATATTAAGCTCTCATTCTACAGTAGATCTTCAGATTATCAGGAATACATTTTGGATTGACTGTGGTGGTCATGTTATTCAGACTCAAGGACCCTAGCAGGCTACAAGTCCTCAGGGAAAAGACTGGCGCAGTGAAGCAGCAGCAGCAGTCCCTTTGAAAGCCCACCAGGAAAGGATTCAAGATCCTCCAGAAGCCCGTGCTGCCCCATCGGAGTGCTCCCCTCCCGGCACCACCCCAGCGGCGCCCCCTGAACGTGCAGCCTCTGCCGATCACGCAGCGCAGACGACAGGACGAGCAGAATCGGTGAGAAACAGCACCCACCTGCTCCCTTCCATCCCCGAGCTCCAGGCCACCCCAGAATCCTGCCCAAGAAGAGAACACTGAATTTACCTACCAGGTCCTCCTCTGGCCTCAGGTGCACCTTCTTCATGAGGGAGCGGGTGAGGTGGTTACACAAGGAGACAATGCTGAAGGAGAGCTGAGGGAGAGAGAAAAGGGGCTGCCAGGTGAGACTGTGCACAGAGACCTGCCGGGGCTCCCTGCTCCCCACCCCCAAACCCTGACATACCTTCCATCGCCTGCGGACATATTGCTTCTTGAAATTCTCCAGGTTGACCACAGACTCCCTGCGGACCAGGGCTTGCTGGTTGTCCACCGGCTGGGAGACAAAGCAGAATCTGGTGGCTGACACTGGGCTTGGGTCGGCAGCCACCACCCCTCCTTCAAACCCCCAGCCACATGCTGTCCTTAGCCTGACTCTGGCACCTCCTCATAGGGCAGGGCATGCAGAGGGCCATTGCGTTGAGGCAAATGGTTACAGATTTCCCAGCTTTCAGGAGATGCCCTGGTGTCATTATAACACAGCCAGACACACACTCTGGCTGGGCTGGAGACTTGTCCCCCCAGAGGGGAAGAACGGGAGGCAGGGCCTTCAATCACGGCTCACTTTGGGGAAGGTCATTGGACAGCAGTCTAGGATGCCCGCTGTGCGCTGGGATGGTACTGGGCTTAGCAAAACAGAGGGCAAATAGAACATTAGGGCTCCGTTCAAAAGTAAATTGAAGGAAATAGGGGCTTCAGTGGAGAGGGAGAGGAAGTGGGATGTATAGTTGCCTTTCACAGCCTGGCAGTTAAAGCTCAGCTTAAATCCTGACTTCTCCAACAAGCTGGCCTAGCTTCACTAAGCCTCAGTTTTCTCGTCTGTATTATGGGGATAATAGCTTTATTAAGGTATAATTGACATATAAAAAAACTGGACGTGTTTAATGTAAACAATTTGATGAGTCCATTCCCTCTTGAATTCCTCCCTTTCTGTAAAACAAAGTTTTCCTAGATCAAAAGATAGGTTTCAGAGGTTCTATGAACCCCCTGAAATGGTTTGCAAATTTTAGTGTGCAAACTTGTACATGAATGTTCAAAGCAGCATTGTTCATAATAGCCAAAAAGTAGACACAACTGAAATGTGCATCATCTGATGACTGAATAAACAAAATTCTCTACAATGGAATATAATTCAGAAATATTATTCATAATACAGTTGACCCTTCAACAATGCAGGGGTTAGGGCACTGAATCCCTACACAGTCAAAAACCCACATATAATTTTTGACTCCCCAAAAACTTAACCATTAATAGCCTACTGTTGACCAGAAGCCCTACTGATAACATAGTCGACTGACACATATTTTGTATATGTCTTACGTACTGTATTCTTACAATAAAGCAAGCTAGAGAGAATAAAGTGTTGAAAAAATTTTAAGGATGAGAAAATACATTTACAGTGCTGTACTGTATTTATAAAAAAATAATCCACATAAAAGTGGACCCCCACAGCTCAAACCTGGGTTGTTCAAGGGTCCACTGTACTGACAGATGCTACAATGTGGATGAACCCTGAAAACATTATGTTGAGTGAAAGAAGCCAGACACAAAAGGCCACATATTGTATGATTCTATTTACATAAAATGCCCAGAATAGGCAAACTGATAGAGACAGAAATGAGATTGGTGGTTGCCAGGGCTAGAGAGAGGGGGGGCTGAGAGATGACTCTGAGAGGGTACGAGGTTTTTTTTGGATTGACAAAATGTCCCGGAGTTAGATGGTGGTGATGGCTGCACAACCTTGTGAAGATACTAAAGACTACTGAACTGTATTCTTTTAAATGGGGAATTTTATGGTATGTGATTTATATCTCAATAAAAAATTTAATTTAATGGGTGTGTACACATATACATTTCTTCCAAAGAGAGCTGATAGATTTCATCCATTCTCAGAGAGCTCTGTGACCTCAAGAAAATGAACTGCCAGGGATGACCCATATGGTCCCACCCAGCTTGATTTTTCTCTCTGCTCTCACAGCCTCCTCACAGCAATGCCTCATTTGGCTCCTCAGTGAATGCTGAGTGACGCCGCTCGTGGGTTCCTGAGCGCTGGTCTTGTCTCCCATCCACGCTTGGAGCACTCCTCCATTCTTGCTGGTTTTTCATCATGGCGCTTGGCATGGGGAAGCCGGCACATAGAGCTGGCCCACACTGCTGGGACCTAAAATCTCCCGGCAGGAGGCGCACTTTCCATGCCCACCCCAGCCCCTGGGCTCCCAGAAGGCCCCTGTGTGTGTTTGAAAGCCCAGTTCAAACATGACCCTCTCCAAGACAGCTTCCGAAAGGCAGTGACTCTCTCCCTGCCGTGACCGAAATACAGGTGAGCTCCCTCAGTATTTCTCACCAACCTCGGCCAGCTCTGCAGTGGGGCCGTCTCACTAGTGAAAAACACCTTGAGGGCACAGAAAGAATTTTCTTCATGGTTTTGTCTGTGTCCTCTGCCCCACCTCCTCCCCACCCAGAGCAGACCCCGTGGGTGCTTAACAGCTATAACGTTAGTTTCCGCGAGTTGCTGAAGAGACACACTGGAATGAAATCCTCGGACCCGGGACCTGCTCACTCCTGCCAATGACAGGCCCGGGCTCCTGGATCGGCGGCCGTGACACCATGGCTCCCCAGGGCTCTGCCTGGGAGTCAACAGAGCTCTGTGGGGAGCAGGGAGCAGGGAGGAAAGTGCACATACGCTTGACATTGGAGGGGGGGATGAGAAAGCCAGGGGCTGTTCACTCTCCCAAACTAAAACACTCTTTGGGCCAAAGCCTGAGGGGGAATGAGGGGTGGGGAAGGAGGAAGACAGAGGGAAGAGAAGATGCCTGTAGCATCTGGGTCCTGCTCCACCCTGATTTCCTCGTCCCTCTCTCCTTTCTGTCACTGTGGTTCCTACAGTCTGCCTCCTGGCCCAGGAACCCAAAATCTCAGGGTCTTTGCCCTTGCTCCTTCATATGTTCACTTTGTCACTTTGTTCAGTCTTTGCTCAAATGTCACTTCCTCAGGAAGCCTTCCTCGACTTCTCTCTATAAAATAGCACCCCAACTGCCCCATACAGTGCACTGTGCCTGCACCCTATTTCTTCATAACAGGTGTCACTACCTGACATTTTATTCTGTATTTATTTGTTTTTTGTTACTCTCCCTCTCCTGCACCTCCCAGCAACTAGTATCTCCTTTCCAGGGTGATTTCCTGCCTCCCCAACCCACAGAACATTTCTACCTCTAACTTCACTGATGTCTGCGTTCACTTTTGAGCCTAAGCCCTGCAGGGGACACTTGTACTTCACTTGGAGAGTTTGATGAGGTGGGATCAGCAGACTCTGGGAGGGAAGGGACCTCTTTTTATCCACTTACTGATTGGCACTCTTGCCAGAAGAGAGAGGCCCGAACCCCATGGCTGGAAAGTCAACATGCAGTTAAGGGAATCCCATTAATAAGAATCCTACCTTCCAACTAGTCCAGCAGTGCCAACCATGGAGCAGAGGGGCCCAACTAAAATATGAGGGGGGGACCATTCCCAGAAGCCATTAACTGGAGGTGATGCAATTGCTTCTAGGGCCCTGTCTATGTGCTACACAAAACAGCATGAACTCTGAGAACGGGGCCACCCAGGCATAAATCTGTCAGGCTGGCCTTTCCTAATCAATGGGTCTCCTTGGTTGCCAAGAGGCTCACCACATGCTGACACTGCCATCTAATCCTTGAAATTCAGAGACGTAAATTCTGTGAAATCTGTTCCCAGAAGGAAGGTGGCACCAACACTTTTGATTAAATTAGGGGTGTCGGGGGGGGGGGATGGGGCTGTGTTCTGCCTTCTCTTGGCCCTCCCCTCTCTGTGAACACACAGTACCCACCTTCCAACCTGAGGTCCTTTGGCCAGAGTATGGGCAATTCTGACCAGGCTCCTAGGAGCATGTTTAGTGTCTCGGAAAAATGTCGGGAAAGGAGGCAAGAAGACAAAACACTGTGGCTGAAGTCAGGTTTTTTTTATGGAGATGCAAATGGCCTTGACAAAGTCCAGCAGGGTGTGCTGGGTCAGGACCGACGCCCACAGAGCAGAGAGCTGGAACAGCAGCTACCCCCCTGGGCACAAAAAAGGAACTCTCTTTATAAGAAGAGGCACTCCAGATTTTCTCTCAATACCGGGCCTCCTCTAGAAACTGCAAACGGATTGCAACTTTTCAAACCTCCATCTGTGCCATTTCTCCAGCCCCATCCTCCATGGAAAGTCAGGGACACCTGAGCACCCACTTCCACCTCCAGCCTGGGTCTGTCTCCAGCCCCACCAATCTCCCTTAATCCAGTCTCTCTATAGGTGGCACCTCCAACTCTCCCTTTTGCTGGCTTCACTTCCCAGTCTTCCCAGGAAAGGAGCACATGAGGCTTATGAGGGCCTGAGTGTCTGCCTCCTTATACATGGGTGGGGAGATCTGTGGAGAGACTGTCTCTGCAGGTCGTCCTGCACACAGAAGAAGGCAATGGAAAGGAGTGAGATGCCCCCTTTCCTTGTCTGACCTGGTCTCACTTTCCTGAGTTAGGGCTCCACACTTTTGACCCTCTTCCCAGGACCTTCAGTTTTCTGAGCAGGTTTTTGTCCCCAGGAAAAGTTTCCAAAGCTCTTCCTCCTGTACCGGTATGGAAGGCAGGAAAGCTGAGAGACGGCACAACCAAATGCCATGCATGGACTGTGTTTAGATCCTGATTTGAACAAACCCCCCACAACAGGACATCCTGGGGAAAAGTGGGGACATGGGATTATGGAATATGTATCCACATGATATTAAGGAATGATTCTCGGTTTTGTCAGGTGTGATAATGGTACAGGAGTAGTATTAAAAAGAAAGTGCTTAGAAATCCATGCTGAAGAATTTATGAGTGAAATAAGTCTAAAGTTTGCTTTAAAATATTCCAGAAACAGCGGTGGTGCAGGTGCATGTGAGATCATCGGCCATAACTTGCTCACTGTTGCAGCTGGATAAGAGGCATATGGAATTCACTATACCATTTTGGATATTTGTGAAAATTTCCCACAACCAAAAGTTCAAAGCGAAAACACCCCCTCTCTTAAATTTCTGTAAAGCTCCTCTTTTATCTCTGTTTAACAGGTCCAGGCTCCTGACCCTAATCTGGGCTCATGCCCACCCCTCCAAATTCTACGTGGCACCTTCTCAGGCTACAGCTTGTGAAGGAGGTGTTGCGGGGGGGACCCTCCCCGAGAACGTTTCTGACCCTTGCTGCCCCTCTGACCCTTTCTCAGTCCAAATTTATCTCTCTAGTTTTTTGGAAT